AAAAGTTTAAAAATCTTTTATTTTTTAAATAATTTTTTTTTCATTCAATCATACATATTTAATCAAGATAACACTTTATTTATACAAAAATAATTTTTTCGTTTGTTTATTTTTTTAATAAACAATAATAATAGACATTTAATGAACAGACGATTTTTGTTATTTAATATGCTTATTTTTTGTTATTATCTTTAATATTATAGCTAGAGTATGAACCAAGACACGAATTGTATCAAAAATACCTTTTACGCGATCGAAATTTTTCGAGATATCGGTCTAGATTCTCATACGACCCCCAAGTTATGTATCTAATTATAAGTAGAGTTTTAGACGGTACTACAATACCAACCGTAGTACGACTTGCAGACCGACATTTGCGGATGTGGATCGGGTACTGGATCCGGATATCCGAAAAATTTTGGATTTGATACCTTATCTAGATATCAATGGATTCCTAAGCATCCGTCAACCTTAATCGTAATACTTTTTAGAAATGATTTACTATAAGCTAACATTTATTTTGCTTCATCTACAGTTATTAATTTCCATATCTGCCGAATCTTCTGATAGCAACAATGATGGATCCTGTCCTAAAGAAAAGATTTTTGATAGTAATGTAAAACGGGGTGTAATTAAAAGCCCTGGATGTGAGTATTGGAATAATCTTTTATTATGAATATTTTTCTATTATAGACTCCACCGAGGGCAGTGATTTACTTGATTGTAAATGGAACATTCTACCAGCAGAAAATACCTTTATTTTTTTTGAATTTAATTTATTTAAGGTGATCCGATTTAGTTTAGCATGTAGCCATATGAAAGTTTATTAGTCAATACAAAGTTTACAAGTCTATTGTAGGTTTTTGAATCAACTAAATGTCCAGACAAATTTGACTCTGTTAAGCATAAATTCCACTGTTAATCCCCAAATTCAATCATATTTGCTCCTAATACCTTTATATCCTCATAAGACTCAACTTTTTAGCGCCTCAGGCGAAAATTTTTAAAATAAAAATTTCGGTTCCGGATCCGGATATCCGAAATTTTCGGTTCGGATACCGGATCCGGATATCCGAAGATTTCCAACTATCCGCCAACCTTATTGGGGATGGGTAGGAATCACGAATTTTTTCACTGCCGGATTGTCTGGGAGCCAGCAATGATTAGAAAAACGTGTCTATACTCAGCACAATATGTCTGGACACATAAATTTTGATTAGACTGATAAACTGTTATGTAACTCATAAACATTCATTGGACTAATAAACTTTAATTAGACTTGATGAACTTTCAGCAACATTTTCAGGCTGAGGAAAGATTTGACAACTTTGATGTTTATCTAACAAGATGGAATGGTTCGGAGTTAATTAAAGAAAAAAAGGAAAGGTCAAACAATTATAAATTGTATTAGACAAAAATTATTTTCTAATTTAGCCTCAGCGGTGAAAATATTTTAACTAAACATATAGCATTTATTTGGTTTGAAGCAGAAGTTAACAGCGGACTTTTGTTCCATTTTGTTACAAACAGTAATAATCATAGTGAATTTCAAATAAGTTTTATTCGAAAAGTCGGAGATAAGTTTTTATTTTTGAATTTTATAATGTAATTAGAGGCTTATGTATTTAAGTCTTTCAGTAAAGCATCTTTGCCTGTAAGTGAGAATTCGATAATTTTTTACAATTCGTTAAAGGATTGCCGACTTTCGGATATAGTATAGTATACCGGAGGCAAAATTTCGATACGAAACACATACCATCGATTCGTCTCGGCGAGCTGAGTCGATGGTACCACTCACCCCAAAATTGTGCTTACCCCCCCCCCCATGGTTTTTTGATTTTCAGGGACCTATATCTAGGTTTACAGGCGTTTCCGTGAATAGTGAGCGTACTGTTCGACTCAGCTCCCCGAGAGGAATCGAATGGTATGTGGTTCATATCGAAATTTTGCCTCAGGTATACTATACTACAGCCCGACTTTCTATTGCGAAGTGATATCTGTATTGATATCTGTATTGCGAAATGACATAATAAGGGCCGAGCACTGGCCATTAAAGTTTATTTCCTCATTCCGTATACTTAAAATAGGCCAAAAGTCATAAAAGAAAACTGAAAAAATCTTTTTCAGACTTTTCCGAACCTATAGTAAAGCAGCTGGGCTATAGCTATTTCTCTCCTTTAGCTAGTGCAAAAGGTTATTCGGCGGCTGGGAGCGAACCAGCATCTTTAGTAGACCAGACTGATGTGTTAGCCATTACACCACGCCGCCTACTGCTCAGCCTTAGGAAATTAATAGCTAAAGTCCGTTCCAAAAAACCTCGACACCCCCAAATTTTTCGGAAAATCGACTTACGAGTTTTTATTTTTTTATAATCTATTTATATCTTGATTCAGCAGCAAAAACTATCTTATTTCACAAAAAATTTTTGCAAACTGATAATTTTATCAGAAGTTATGATAAAATTTCAAAAAATCATGCGTTCCAAATATCCTCATACAGTTTGTAAAAATACCGTTAATTACGGAAAGAAAGCAGCTAAAATTTAATAAAAATTTCTATGAACATAACTATCAATAAGGATACAAAATAGAAAAAAACTAAGTCGAAAACTGCTTTCATCATCGAGATCTCAAATCTCAAAAATCAACGGAAAATTTTAGCTACCTTCTTTCCGTAATTATCGGTATTTTTACAAACTGTTTGAGGATATTTGGAACGCCTGGTTTTTTGAAAATTTATCACAACTTTTGATAAAATTATCGTTTTGTTAAAATTTTTTGTAAAATAAGGTAGTTTTAGCCGCTGAATCAATATATGTATAAAAAGTTCATAAAATTTTAGACAACTGTAAGTCGATTTATCCGAAAAATTGGGGGTGTCGAGGTTTTTTGGAACGGAGTTTATATGCTTTACACTATTTTGCCACTTAAAAACCTAAAATAGGAGCCTATTTCTCAATCTTCGGACTTAAAATGTAAGACTCTAGTTATGAACAGTACCTTTTGTTCATATCCTTCTAAAAACGATTTTTCCAAACAATAGTACTTATCAGCCGTGCCCACAACCTTTTTATTTTGCAACCAATTCTCCTCAATATCTTCCAATATTACCTCTAAAATACAAACAGACATGTATCTTCTCTATAAATTCAACACAACCAATAAAGCTTACAATCAACCGTGACATCGAAAGAAAGTTTGGAGTTAAGGTAATAGTTAATGACTGTCAATGAACATGTATTTTTTTAAAATTCTGTCTGTCTCGATCTCTGGTTTTCCTTAAAATCCTAAGTAATCACGAAAAAAGTTCAAAATGTTTGGAGAGTATGTTAGTGCTCAGTTGGCCCTTTTACTTTAGGCGCTCAGTGTGAATTTGGGCTCGGATATCTCAAACATGAGACGCACCGAAGATTTCGGACTGGTACCGTATTCCTTTTTCTCTTTCTTTTCTTCAATACCTCACGGTGCAAGAATCTCTCCTTTCATTTGATTTGTGGGGGATAAGTTATCAGGGTAACCTTAAACCTTGAATTTATTCTGCGTGCCCCTAACGTTAGGATTTGGTAGGATAAAGAGAATTCTGTATTTTACTTAACAATAAATAGAAAATATTTACTTAGGTTTTTGAAAATGAAACTTCTTCTGGTCTTTATGAGAAAGATCAAAAAGGACAATTGTTGGCAAAGTTTACCACTAAAAAATTGAACAATCATTTAAATTTTTTAGTATTGAAGGCGCGAATTCTCCTTTTCAATCATCTAGATTTCCTTTAATTATAACAAGTAGAAAATCTGTGAGTGTAATAATTAGCTCATCTGATCAAGAACATAGTAAAGTTCCTTATACAATTGAATATGTTGCTGTTGAACGTATGTTATTATTTAAGTTATTTAGCAAAATATTTTTTTGTTAGAAACATTTTCGGCACTGGCGAGAAGATGCCCCCCCCCCCCCAAATGCCCCCAGAACAAAAACCAACTCAAAATGTCTTAGCCCAAAAATGTCCCATCTCAATAAAACAGAGTAAAAGTACTCAGTTAGCCGAACTATAAATTAAAGTGAGGGTAATCCCACTTGACTACAAGGTATCTTTGGAAATCATAAATTTTGTCAGTTTCATATTAATATACTTTAAGATGTTTTTTTTTGAGAAAAATGCTTAAGGTGGATATAGAGGGATTACATGATTTTAAGGAGATATCGAGGGATTTGGGAGAATAAAGAGGGAGGGGCATGAGGAGTGAAACGCACGGACTGAAATAAGGCGTACTGATAATGTGTTTAGCACATATCCTCAACTAGAGTCTCTTTATATTATTCCTAAATAATACTAAAAATTTTTTTCCAGCTTGTCAATGCTTTCCAAATAATTTGACGGTCACTCGAGATCAGCCATTAAATTTACTCTCACAAGGCTTTCCGTCAGGATATTGTGGCAGTCTTAATTGTTTAACACAAATTTCTTTAGAAAATCCACTCAATACAAGCGACTATGTGGAATCTATACAAATTCAATTAAATTCTTTCCAGACTGATTCCAATACGGAGCCATTAAGTTTACAAATACCTGTTGGTGATCTAAATAAAGAGCTTATATCGTAAGCTTTTATGATGACTTTTGGACTTTGAATTTTTAACCTTGACTTTTTGACCGTTATTATTAGAATAAGAGCTGATATTAAGGGATTTATTGTGATTAATGTGGATTTGAAAGGATAACGGCCATATCAGAGGATTTGTATGGTCATTGGGGGATTATGGAGATCTGGATGGATTAAGAGGATATAAGGGGATTTGGATTGAATATAAGGGGATTTGGAGTGGATATAATAAGGAGATTTGGTGGATAAAGGGGACTTGGAGTGGATATAGGGAGGTTTGGAGGATATAAGGATTTGGAGACAAGAAGATATAAGGGGATTTGAGTGGAAATACGTAAAGAATCTAGAATTTATTCGTATAGCTATTAATGTATATACAGTAAGAGCGAGGTAAAAGTTTAATCCCGGCCAGGCTTCGATCCTGCGACCTCCTGGCAGTTATTGCTAGGCTCTACCAACTGAGCTACCGGGACTCTCCTTTCACCTTCTCTTTTAATAGATCATAAACCCCCGCCTAGTGAGCGTTTTAAATGCTAACCAGCTGGATCTTTTCTCTCTTTCTCTTCCTTACAATACTAAAAATTATTTATTTAAGTTTTGGAGGTGATGCACAAAAAATAAAATTTTTTACTATTGATTCACCAAAATTTATTTTAAATTTTAATACTAAAACTGTACAAAATGTTGCGGGATTTAATTTTACAATTAAACGTATTAAAAGGGATAAGGGTAAAAAATATGTTAAAAATTTATGTTAAAAAATTTTTCGAAGAATGTTTATGTCATGGAACTGATAGCATTCTAAAAATTTTGAATGAACAAAAGGATTTAGTAGAATATAATTTCGATGGTGAAAGATGCCAATTTATGGACTGTTTCTGGGAAATTCAACCTCCAAATGTTTGTTAAACAAAATCAGAAATTAAAATGCAAAATTACTAGGGTTTCACCGGAAGTTCCGGTTCCGGTTCCGGAAAGTTCCGCCCTTTTTTTGTTCCGGTTCCGGGAACCGGAACTCAAATTGGATCCGGTTTCGGTCAAAATTTCTAATAAGTACCACATTTCTTTAAATAGAGCCCCACACTCTATTACAGCCCCACCTTGCAGGATAGTTAAAAAATAGAGCCCCATGAGGCTGTACATATTTGAAGAAATGCGGTATTTGATTTAAAGGCTTATTATTTCGAAGAAATTTTGTGCAGATTCTGCAAAAGGGTTATCTAACCTCTTTTAAAATTTCAGAATTTTTGGTTAAATATTTCAGAAATTATGGGCATTAAATATCAGTAAATCTATGTTCTTCTAGAAAATTGGAAATTTTTTCCAGACATTTGAGATATCTAACCAAAATTCTGAAATTTTAAGAGGGGATAGGTAGCACAAAATATTTATGCCAAAATTTGACAATTTTATTACCCCTTTCGACTTTTCATTACTTAATGAGTACTGTATTTCAGGACTCAAAAATTTACGAACGTCTTATTGTCAAATACAATTTTTCTCATGTTGATGATGGAGATATTTTTAATGTTTGTAACGAAATTGAAGGATCTCATGGCTGTTGGAAGTAGCTTTTCTAAACTGCATGGGGTGTGCCGAAACAGATTTTAACATGCGAGAAACGAAAGTCGAAACGCCAGAAAGCGAAAATTCTACGAAAAATAAAAGGAGAAAAGGCACACCCCAAGGCACCATCTAATCTTGATTATGGATAGTACCTATTAGTGTTGTTGGCGGTCGGTTAACCGAACCGAAGACCAGTGTTTTTGGCCAATAAACCGAAAATCGTTGGTCAAAAACCGGCGACGACCGAAAACCGAGGGTACCGGTTATTAACCGGTCGCCAACAACCCTAGTACCCATCTTTGGATTTGTTGTCTTAATGAATCTTAATTTGAAGTATTAGATTGGACTCTTACCCATGGTGTTTATATTATTCCATCTATGATATCCTCCAATGGAATTTTCTATACATTTAATTTTCAGATATGATTCATCAAGTCTTATTGGTTCTAAACATCGAGAAGCTCATTTTTTTATTAATGATGTTTCTAGATTTATTCTTAAACGAGATGCTTCTGTACGTATTTGGTATCATCGTGAATCTGTAGAAATGCTTAAAAATCCGAATATTCCAAGACAAATTGATATTAATTATGAATGGATAGAACGTAACAATTAATTATTTATTAGGATAACTATCATAATTTAACTAATAATTAGGGCCCTGAATTTTAGATTGTAAAAACCTTAAAATAAGTACCTAAATAGATTGTATCAAAATAGGCCATCCAAAACAAGCAATGTTTTGTATGTATGCCGTAGGGATGCTCGGGTATCCGACTCGGATTAATTTCCCGAGTTTTTGGCCTCCCGATCCATACTCCCGATGTCATTTCCCGACTAAGTCAGGAAATTTTTACACCCCTAAGAATTGCTTTTTTGATAAAATTATATATTTATTTTTCGCCTGAGCGCTGAAAAAGGGAGAAATTTGGTCACGACTCCGAGGCCATTTCCCGACCCGACTCCCGTTTCCCGGGTTTTTTCTTCTCCCGAGCATCACTAGTATGCGGATATGCCTAGAATTGAGAAGCCTAAACTATGGTCCGAGTATTTTAGGACCCAGTAATTACTGCATACATTTGCATATTTCGACACTCTCAAGCATATTTGTACATTGGTGCATATTTTGGGAAATTTTCCTATTTTGGCAAACATAAATAAAAAATTAGGCACCAGATTTACTATTGTAAGGAAGAAAAAGATCCAGCTGGCTAGCATTTAAAACGCTCACTAGGCGGGGTTTAAGATCTATTAAAAGAGAAGGTGAAAGAAGCGTCCCGGTAGCTCAGTTGGTAGAGCACCTGTGCGTGGTGAGCGAAAGCGCCTAGCAATAACTGCCATGAGGTCGCAGGATCGAAGCCTGCCCGGGATTAAACTTTTACCTTGCTCTTACTCTATTAATTAAATAATCTATTTTAATCATAAAATTAGATAAACATCCTATATTTCTTAAAACGTCCGTTGTTAATTTCGTGCTTTATTGCTTGAAAGTGTTGGGAAGCTGAACGTGAAGCTGCACATAATAGTAATGAACGAACTGTTCAAAAGATTGGAAAGATTTTTTGAAAATCACATGATTTTACAACAAATTTTAATTTTAAATAATTATGATTTTAAATAAAGTTTAAACCAGTTCAAGTTTATTCTGACTAGTTTATGCTCAAATAATTACCCTTCCACAGATAATTACTACTTTCGCCCTCAGCAGAAGTAGTAATTACCCCTCGACCTCTGATTGATGATTTTCTTCTCGATTTTTTTTTATTTTCCCCTCGACCAGACCAAGATTTGCCCCTCGACCTCGATCTCGACTTTTCCAGCCTAGGTGATCATCGGTCACCAAAAAACCTTGACTTGATTTTATTATGTTTCCTTGCCCAAGGCTTCTTTTCCCATCTTTGTTAAATAAAAGTACAGCACTTCAATTTGGTCGGATCGTTTATTATATCACTTTTTTTCGCTCTTGGTAAAACGGAATCAAAATTCTTGACCGACTGGTAAAAAAGTTATGATCGATAAAGTGTCGAAAAATCAGATTTTTTTGAAAGTTAGTTTTTAGATCATAACTTTTTTAGCAATCAATCGAAAATTTTGGTTCTTTGGTATATTGTAGCCCATCTAATCCTCTATCAAATGGTACAAAAATCATTAAAAATTATCAATTCGTAATTGAGTTATAAAGCCGGGACTCAATTGAACTGCTCCGTTAATTTTGCTTTTACAATTTGTTTTTTTTTGTTTACATTGTCATGGAGACATGTGTCACAGATAGAAAGTTCTTTTTTATTTTTATACATTTGGATGAATTTCCTTTGTTCATTCTCCCTTTGTGTTGCTGAAATATTCTATATCTCTTTTAACAAATGATTCATTAAATGTTTAAATTCCTAATATATAAGTATAATCAGAATTTTTAGTTCTAATTCTTTTATTCACTCTAGATTGATCAGAATTTTCTTTAAATTTGTTTACTTAAAAAATAAGAATTAAAACTGGATTCAAGTTCCAATAAGTTTAAGTTTTACAGGGTGCGCCATAAGTAATTGGACACATGTTTTCTCTCATAACTTTATTAAAACACAATCAAATAAAATCAAAATACAATCAAATGATAGAGAATTAATTAAGGAACAATAATAATCAAGAAGATTCGAAATGCCCACCCTTGGCTTTGATCCAGAGGCGAAGGCGTGAAGAAAAATTTTCGCAAATAGCACGCACGTCTTTAAGTGTAATTAAGTCCCACACTCGGGTGAGTGAGTGGCGCAGAGACTCCAAACTTTTGTGCGGCTTAGCACAGGTCCTGGACTCCAAAATAGAGTCCAGGACCTGTGCTTTGTAAGTACTGTACTTCCAAAATAAGTACGAATCCAACCCTGGTTTAAATATTAAATACTGATTTTTATTGACCAGTATACCCTTTAAGAATGATTTCCCATAATTTAACATTCATTTTGCTTCTAATTCTATTATTTATTTTCATTATTTTTGCTGAATCATCTGTTGAAACAACTGAAACTACTGAAAGCAACAATGAATGTTCGTGTCCTGCAGAAAAAATTTTTGATAGCAATGTGGAATATGGTGAATTCAAAAGCCCTGGATGTTAGTATTGAAATAATGACTTAAGTGTAAAACTCAGAATAGTTAAAAATTAGAATATCTGAAAGATAACAATATGTATTTACTAAAACCCTTACTAATTATTATTTCAAACAGTGTTCGGCACGGTTCGGTACTCCCGCGGTACTTCCGAAAATTTTTCTTCTGTACAAATTTTGGAATTTTCGGTACTAATTCGGTATCGGTACTTTTCGGTACTCCCGGTACCGAAAAAATCCATTTGCCGAACACTAATTTCAACCCCTGTTTCGTATGGTTCAAATAATTACTCGTCTTTTTAATAGAGGCGGGTAATTATCTAAGGGAATGATATGTTTCTGTATATACGATATATTGACTATTTTTCCATTATAGTCCCCGACAAGTACTGTGCTTTTCTTGACTGTAAATGGAACATTCAACCAGAAGAAAATACCTATATTTTTGCAAGGGTGGAATCATTTCGGGTGACTCGAGTTAACTTAGATTCTTATCTTTAACTTTCAGACAGAGGCAAAATATGACATTTTGGATTTTTATCAAACAAGATGGAATGCTTCAAAGCTAATAAAAGTTAAACAAGACAGGTCCAAAAATTACATAAATATTGTTTTAAACCAAAAATTATTTTCCAATTTAGCCTTAGTGGTGAAAATTACCAAAATCCTACTTATCTTCTATCCTCAATTAACGGCGGACTCTATTTCCATTTTGTTACAAACGGTATTAATCATAATTTCCGTGGATTTAAAATTAGCTTTTCTCGAAAGTCTGAAGGGTTTGTTAATTTTTAAGAATTATATGC